TCATCATGTTGGTCACAGTTTATATGCAACTGTCATGTTGGTCACAGTTTATATGCAAAAGTCATGTTGGTCACAGTTTATATGCAAATGTCATGTTGGTCACAGTTTATATGCAAATGTCATGTTGGTAACAGTTTATATGCAAATGTCATGTTGGTAACAGTTTATATGCAAATGTCATGCTGGTAACAGTTTATATGCAAATGTCATGTTGGTCACAGTTTATATGCAAATGTCATGTTGGTCACAGTTTATATGCAAATGTCATGTTGGGCACAGTTTATATGCAAATGTCATGTTGGGCACAGTTTATATGCAAATGTCATGTGGGTTACAGTTTATATGCAAATGTCATGTGGGTCAAAGTTTATATGCAAATGTCATGTGGGTCACAGTCATATGGGTCACAGTTTATATGCAAATGTCATGTTGGTCACAGTTTATATGCAAATGTCATGTGGGTCACAGTTTATATACAAATGTCACATAGATGTGAATATGTAAATAATAATGCTACAGTAGAAGCAATAAACGCAGAGATGTGATGCAATACATAATAACTCGGTGATTGGTGGCATCTGTTGATTTGTTGAGAGTAATGGGCTTAATTTATTAGAGTAACTATCATTAGTGTTACTACATGTGTGCTCACTTACAAGTTATTTAATAATTACTATTAATAAGTATTAATTATTTAATTATTAATAATTATAATTGTGTATTTTGTTTTTAGAATCAAGTAAGTTGAACTGAGCGTGATGAGATAGAATGCTTTGTTTAGTGGAAAGAAAACTCAACACCCTGTAAGTTAGTTCAATTTGTTATAAATATCAGTTGATAAATTCCATATTATGTTTGTCAACTTATTCACATCTTAGTATTATGTACTGTGTAAGGAAATAATTACATTATTATTGGAGGACCTACTAGTAGTTACTACTGCACTGTATTCTGTGTTTGAATAACAATGTACATGGAGAGGATGTTTAATTTGATTCATTGACTATTTGAGTGAACTACAATAAGGGTTAGGTCAGTTGAAATCCCTGGGAAAGAATTTTAAAACAGAGTCGTTTGTAAAGTTTGTGATATTTCCTGAACAACAGAATACATATAAGTTCATTGTCAATAAATTATTGTTTTTACCGAGAGATAATTTGAAATCCCCCACCTCTTTGAATTTAAAATGATCCTCCCCTTTACATTGAACATGCCTGTGTCCAGCACCACTTGATTTATGGTCAAGGATGGTGGCTAATTTGCATAACAATTAGCGATGATATATTATATATAATTCTTATACACTGTAACTACTTTTAGTTTTATAATTTCAAATAAAATGCAAACAATGTCAAATGTGAACAAGAAAATCAATAAATCCTAACAAAAATATTATAATAGAGTACTCATCCGCTATTTGTTGTGCAAAAATAGTTGTAAAATGTGTAATTGAGCCTGATACTATCCGACAGAACACTTCAAGACACATAAAGGGGTAAGCATGTCAAGTATTTAAATGATATATTGTTGACAACTGAAACTAACATATAGGAATGAATAATTTGGTAACAGGTGGAGAAGACTTGGCTGGATAAAGTGCAATCACAATAAAATATTTTTTAAGCCAACTAAATTAAAAAAAAAAATTCTCAAATCATTTTTTCTAGTTCAGCTTCACCCTTATGAGTAAAAAAAGGGATAAATAAAGTTGGGGTATTTCTTTTTCTTTTACAATTTCAGAAATTCTCTCCAGAAGCCAAACTGCTGGTTGCTTTTAAAGCTTATTTTGCATTTTAATTAATTGTACACTATATCATATTACCTTCAGTTTGAAGGTTGCTAATACAATAGGAGGTAATACTAATTTGATATTGCTAAATCTTACATTCAAGCAAAGGATATGCTACTTTTAAAGCTACACTATTAAACTGTGAGTGTATTGTTATGGTAAATAGTGTCCCACTGATTTCACACTGTGTTCACAGCATTGTTACCTTGTAAAGTAGGTATGGTAACATATTTAAATACAAAAAAAAGTGTGTCTCTGTGGTAATCTATTATTAGTGGGAAATGTTTCCATAGTAACACATTCTATTGTAATAAAATGCGCAGCCGTGGCAATGAACTGATTGAGTAAATCTGACTGACCTTCAAATCCTGCTAAGCATGCACAGTGATAGAAATCCTGCGATTGAAAGCATGTACCACCATTCTGACAGGGTACTGAATCACATTCGTTTAGGTTCTGTACGCAATTCTCTCCACCGAATCCAGGCATACAGGAACATGTGTAAGCACCATATCTGTTGAAGCATAGGCCTCCGTTCTGACACGGCTGGTCATGCAGGCATTCATCGATGTCTACTTCACAGTGCTCTCCCTCATACCCAGTGTCTGTACAATCACAGGTATAAGAGAACACACCATCCAGACAAACTCCTCCATTCTGACATGGGTCGCTGTAACATTCATAAATGTCAATTTCACATTGCCCACCTGCAAATCCTATAAATAATAAAAAAAAAAATATCGCGGCCGAGTCAGATCCTAAATTTTTTTTATTTAAGGGCATAAAGATGACCAAATCTTACCGAAATACTGTTTTAGACACAAAGTGCCTTAAACAAATAAAATACATAAAATACGATGTGAAAACTAAGGGTCAAGTAGTCAACATTTTGTTGAAATGGGTCACATAATGGGGAAAGTAGAAAACTATGATGCATGATGCACATTACTATGAGAAATGCCACATAAAATCACTGTCAAAGAGAGGCTTAGCCTCTCAAGATGGCAATAAAACTGGATTTCAATTGCTGATGCCATCTGGAGATCTGGACAAAACCAGGTGGCCATCCTTTTTCTCTTGCAAGTGATTTAATATACAACATCTGTATATAGCTTATATGCTATGCCATCAGTGTTCAGCCATTACAAATTTCCATTAATGACACAGAAAAAGAAAGATACAGTAAGTACAGCTAATGTCGTTTTTAACATTTTGTATGGTATATGTATAAAAGTGCTGAATATTTTACACGTATAATGACCAAAAATATGTATCATTGTTTTAAGCAAAACCAAATTATTTTTCATATCTAGAAAAAACGATTATCAATTCAAGTACTGTATTCTGCAGCAAATTCACCCAGGACTGTTAATCGGCAGTTCAGGTTTTTAAAAAATAAAATGGGACCAGGGGACCGCCCAGGGCGATTTTTTTGGAAGTTTTTTAAGATGTTATTTTAATCTTTTCTGATGCCTAAAAGTTTTGCCGTAGTCATTGACGGCTATTCAAGAGTATTGGTGTTTATTGCGACTAGCGTGAATGGGTTAGCTTCGTTTCGACAATGAGCTGTTATCGTTGTAAATAATGTGAAATTATTATTCAAATGCTCAGTTTATCTTTTGAAAACAACTAATTTTTTTATTAGCTCCGCTGTCGACTTTGTCGAGCGGAGCTTATCATATGAGTGATTGTCGTCGTCCGTCGTCCGTGTCAATGTTTTACTTTTTCGACATCTTCTTGAAAACCTGAATGCTTTGATACTTGGTGTATATGTACCTTGGGTATACCTCTCTCAGATTTGTTCATTTCATGATGATATCTTCAATTCTCTAATTTTGGTGAATATTTTTGTCATTTTTGGTAAAAAGTGATATTTTCGACTTCTTGTTAAAAACCTCAAGTCCAATTGCTTTGATGTTACATATATAGGTACTACATGTGGACCTCTCTCAGATTTGTTCATTTCATGATGATATCTTTAATTCTCTAATTTTGGTGAATATTTTTGTCATTTTTGGTAAAAAGTGATATTTTCGACTTCTTGTTGAAAACCGCAAGTCCAATTGCTTTGATATACCGGTATTATACATATAGGTACTACATGTGGACCTCTCTCAGATTTGTTCATTTTCTAATGATATCTTCTGTTCTTTAATTGCCATGTGCATTGCTAACAGCGGAGCTATCTCAGCCGACAGGCTGCTTGTTTAAAAACAAATCATGCCGTTTTCTCATCAAAATCCAAGCCAAAAGATCGTACAACAACATTGGCAAATCTCTTCGGTGCTGTGTTCAATAACATTAACATATTGAAATGTGCTATGGTAATTTGAACACGTTGGCATCATCCATCGTTTTCATTGGTTAATTTATCGATTTGACCTGTCAGGTCAAAGAACACCATTACAGATCAAAACATGGCGGATATTTATTTCTACAGCATCAAGCGTTGAAAATGCGATCAGAATCATTCGCTTACGATGCATTTCATAACAATGCACGTTATTATAATCATTACTACGGCAGAATCCGGTATAAGGAAAATTTCAATGAAACAAAAGCTATGATTAGAAAAGGGCAACTTCTAGTGAGTGCATTGCTCTGATACTTGTTATTGTCCAGAGTTATTTCAAAAATCTGGGTTTTAAAAAGTATCAAAAAATGTAGTTTTTCTATGGAATTGTTCTAAAAATAGTGACTTTTTGAAAAGTAATAGAACAAGTTTTTCAAAATATGTTCGTGTAACACACACAAAAAATGTTATTTCATGGTGCCATAGGACAATAGCTCCATGATTTTACATAATAGACCAATGTACATTGTCAAAAATAATGCGTTGGCTTTTACCTAAACAAAGAAATTTTTGAAAAATACATAAACACATGCAAAATATGGCAGGAAAGAGACTGGTGTTCAAAATGCATGTTTTGTCATTAATTAATGCAGATGGTGATTACAAGTGAATTATAATCCAGTAAAAGAATTTTAATTCTGTGAATCTGGCAAAAGAATTTTAATCTTGGTATAATTTAATCCAGTGAGTAATCCAGTGATTACAGGAGATAAATAATAATCTAACCAGTGAATTTTAATCTAGTGAGTGAATATAACCACATTTGTAGACATACATGTAGGTGGTGACTTTCAATTAACTGTGCAAAAAGCATGAAAGTTTATTTTCACTGAATGTAAAATAAATGAAAAATGTACATTACCTGTATTTTATTCCACTTATTCATTTTTTTAGCAAAAATAAATTTCAAGTGAAAATAAAGTAATTTACAGTAGTTGAGTCTGATTATGAAGTTAGTTATTAGTAAATTAATTTTTATATTTTTGTTTTAATTTCCAAGCACACAGAAAAAAATCATATTGTATATTGCTATACAAGTTGGGACTGTTTTAATACTGCCCTCATTTGACAAAAATAGAAAAACAAAAGTATTATAAAATTACCACTTGGGGGCATTCTTCATTATAGAGCCTCTATTGTACTGACCTTCCTTTCCTGATTATGTTTGACAGTGTAATTTTCTTTTTCGTTTCTTGTTATGCACCAGAAATTAGAGTAATCTTAATTTCCATGTTAAGAATCCATGAATGTGACAAATAGGATTCATTTTCTTATTCAGCAATTGGCACAATATGAAAAGGTATTGCCACAAAACAAGTTATATCCAAATTTCTGTTCTCATTTTGGGGTTTAAAATAAAATACACCTTTAAAAATTGAGTTCATTTAGATATACATGCCACATCGTAAAATTTGGCAAATTTTATCTAATACATATTCCATATACAGAGAAGAACATTACAATGAACATATCCGCGTAAAAATTAGATTTTCTTTACTGGAACCCTATTTCCTACCCCATAAATTAAATTAGCATAGTGTGGCCTCTATCATTAATTGCCAATCATATTAACAGCAAGTCTACATAAGATTCATACAAGCAATTTATGTGAAGTACCGTACAAATTCTAAAATTTCGGCCACTTGTAAATAATTTGTTTTGAAAAACGGTCAATACATAATAACGATAAATTTTTGGCCAGTCGAATGTTTTAGTGTAAAGATTCAACAAATAAAAAATTGGGTTATATACAGTTGCATTGCAAATTAAACGTCAAACAAAATTACACACACTTTCCTGCGTCAACATAGAAAGTGACGTCAGCAAATTTAGAGTAAAAATAAGTGAGCAATTTCTAGTGAGGTCGAAATCTTGGAGGTCAACAAATAACAAAACTCCACCAAATAATTAAGTGGTTGAATTTTTGGAGTGGGTGAAATTTTAGAGTTTTTTCAGTATATATTAGCCACTTTCTATTGGTTTACATTATTAGGTAGCCAATAGGTAACCAACGAATATACTATGACATGTGACACATTATTTTCCCCTCAAATCCCCTTGACTTATGAAAATCTCTTGCAAAATTTAAGCAGTTCACAGTATCCAGTCTACTGTGGAATACTTTATTTTCGCTGGAATTAATTTTCGCTGAAAAGGCTTTTTGGGCGTTTTGTATGGAATTTATTTTCACTAATAATTGATGAGTTTAATGTGAAATATAGGAAAAAAAGTATTTTCGCTGGATTTTATTTTCACGGAATCATCCCTTCAGCGAAAATAGCAAAAATAAATTCCAAACGAAAATAAAGTATTCTACAGTATCTACTAGTATTTACCTGCTTGACAAATACACACGTAACCATCATGATATGTATTATTATAACATATTCCATCATTTAGACATGGTCTGGTAGCACAGTAGTTTACTTCAGATATTTCACACAGAGTTCCACCATAGCCTGTAGGACATAGACACAATGTAGCATTGTGGATGTCATCTTCTGTACAAAATCCTCCATTTTGACAATCCAGATGATGATTTGGGTGTTGACAAAGCGGACCTAACAAAACAACAAAAAGAAATAAAATATAATTAAAATTGATGTAGTCTTTTTTTACTAAACAACTTTCACATAGTGGATTTGATTTCCGCTGAAAAGACAATTTGGGTGTTTTGTATGAAGTTTATTTTCAATGATTTTTGACAAGGTAAATGTAAAATATAGGAAAATAGTATATTGCTGGATTTTATTTTCACTGAATAACCTATTCCAATCGAAAATAAAGTATTTTACAGTACAAGTTTAATATTGAATACCGGTACATTTTATAATCTGCTTCAAATAATTGTATAACCACAATAAACTTTATTTTCAGTAAGGAAAAACTTTCATAAATAATCTTCAACAATATTCATAGTGGGACAATGCAACAAAATCCAAACCCAAATTTCTGTTAATAAAGAATCAAAGAAAGCTTAAGAAAGAACTCCCATGTGCTGAGA